TTATATTGCATAGCTCTATCAGTTCTAAATTTTTCTCCAGAAGATCCATTCCTCATATTTGTCCTGCTATATCAACCTTACTGTAGTTTTAAATAGCTCAATCAGTTTGGTCTCAATATTTCTTCCTGTAATCACCTTCCTTTAATACATTCTCTAAATTACCAAAGATTTCACATTGGAAAGTTTTGACGTATGTTATTTTCGCACGCGTTTCATGTAATTTGTTTTCACAAAGCGAACGAGGTTCTGAAAACAAAATAACAAGTGCGAAAATAAAATACGTCAGCACTTTCCGTGAAGAAATTTCATGCATGATGTCCGAAAAACTGTACACGCGGAAAGGATGGAAGAACTGTTATCTTGTATTAATAGATTATGAAATGCGGACAATCCACTGCTGGTATGGAATTACATTACAAAATCAAGATCGTAGAAGAAAAAGTAGGAGCGTTGGCAAGAGTAGGCAGAGGCTCAACAGACACAGTTTTTATTCTCGGGTATAAATTTATCCAACATGTATTAGATATCGACCCGGCCAGTTTACCAGATGACGAGGAACTGCAAGCTCTTACATTTTAAACAACCATTACATTGCTAGAAGAGACATACATCTGCTTGATATGTATTAGCTCAATTTAACAGAAACGTATAATACTTTTGTTTGTGGAAACACCACGTAAATTTATTACTGCAAAGCTTTTTTTATTGTATGTTTTATCGCCATGCAAACTTATCAATTAGAAACGGTTTGTAAAAATACGAAAAGAATAAAATTACCTTTCCACTCCCTGTAGAATAGTTTAGAAAATGAGCACATATATATAATTATCAATTTTAATAAACTTACTTTGTAGTTTTGTATTCTGTCTTGTTCAATTCTCGAACAATTTGTGTTATCTGTTTATGAGTTCGAGTTCCAAAATAGATCTTGGGTGAAGCTGGCCTACAAAATATATAAAATCAATTCCTGTATATATTACTGTTTCCTGCTGACAGAGGTCTCTTATTTCTCTCACAAATAGACACCTCTGTCAGCAGGAAAATGTTACTGTATATCTGTGGAAAATTTGGGGGAAATAGCGGACAATGGGATCATTAAGTTTGTTTGTTTGTTTGTTTGTTTGTTTGTTTGTTTGTTTGTTTGTTTGTTTGTTTGTTTGTTTGTTTGTTTGTTTGTTTGTTTGTTTGTTTGAAACTTTATTTCCCAAGGTTAGACATAATAGTTTGACAACAAATAAACGTGCAGCTCTCTTAATGCTTTTTACGTAAATAAGAAGATATTAATCCTAGAAAATTGTTCCAACTCCGCCATGCACAAGGAACCATGACGCATAAAATCCGATTCACACTTCGAATGTATAACGGTACTGCTTATATAGAATTAAGTCATCAATAACCTGAAGTTGTTTTGAACGCGTCAGAAACGACTTTTGGTTGACATGTGTCCATTTGCAATTGTATCGTTCACAACGCAATCGAATTCGCGATCAATTCAAGCTGGAATGCGTTTCACACTTGTTCGGAACGCAATTGGAAAGCAAACGCAGTAAGTAATTCTCCACATATTCATTCAATGCATATTTATTATACGTTCTATGTGACTTATAACGCTTTTTATAATGATGGTATATATAATATTTCATTTGCAGACTCCTTATCAATCATGAAGACTATCAATGTTTTAATATGATTTGTACTTTTTAGATAATTTCAACACTGACAACAATCCATCAAAATCTTATGTTTTTAATGTAGTATACTAACATTTCCAGTTTTTCTTCTAACCAACGTTCTTCGTTCAGCAAATCCCTTTCATTGTCATCATCATTTTCTCCATGACTGCTACAATTGCTGGTTGACATATCCCCAGCTCTATTTAGTTCCATGGACCATTCCGGATGCGCTGACGACATCCCAGCTGGATCGGGAAGGTCATCATCCAATGCACCTCCCGTTTGGCGACGTTTTTTTGCTTTTGGAATCTGTAAAATATGCCATTAAAAATACCTCAAACATAGCTTGTCTACAAAAAACTGATGTGGTTTGTGTCTGAACTATCTCAAAAAGTTTAAAAATATTTTCATGTTTCAAGAGAAGTAAGGCCGGATTTTGAGTGGAGGTGCACACCTCCACTGAGATCGTTTTGCACCTCCCCAGAAAAGTCATGCACCTCCCCTAGGGAAAGTTTCAAGATAGAGAGACTTTATTTATAGAGGATGACACTTGACACTTGACAGTACGAATACTGATGACTCTGTGGTCCTCTGGAAACCTATGTGCCTATAACCCACCCTGTCAACTTTCCCTGTGGGAGGAAACACGGAGTACCCGGAGGAAACCCACGACTTTCGGCAGAGCGTTGACTTCTCTTTTCACATGAGGACTGGGTTCGAGTCACAACGAGAAGTCCTCACTGAGATTTGAACTTGCGGCCTTAGAGGTGAAAGGCAAGTGCGCTAACCACTTCGCCACCGAAGCCTCAAAGTGAAAATTTGACTCTTTCTTTGGTTGCTTAGGGTGTACACTTCGTAAGAAAGTTTTCTGTAAAATTGAAACAGTGATAGCTATTCAGAGTCTGTGTCAAGTACCCTTTTAATGCAATGTTTTGAAAGAAACTTTGTAGTAATTGTAATGAAGGGCAAAATTGGATGAGTTGTACAGTCATAATTCATGAATACACATACATCACATCGTTCATTTTAATTTGGTCTGTTCTAAGCCCTAACTTTCCATGGAGGTCGTGAGGTAGACTGCTGCACTTCCCTTAAATTTTTTCCACCTCCCCCACTATTTCCACCAAAATCCAGCCTTGAAGGGATTAGACTGATTGATCACACAACCTTTTTAGTCAATTCAGACACAAACTACAAAAGATCAACTACAGACTATTTTAATTTCTACAAGGTTGTTCCACCTGTCCACCAGGAGTCCTAAAACGTTTCTTTGGAGCTTGAAAGTCTGCATCATCGTCATTTAATTCATCATCCTCCATCGCCATACAGGCATCATTATTTGTTTCAGCAGTTTGTGCTAAAGATAAAATCAACAGTCAGGTATGCCATACAAAGCTCAGTAGAAAGGCCCAAATTTGAAAAGTAAAATGTAGTATCTTTGTGAAAGATGCCCGGCTGGCAGCCAAGCAATCAAAGACAAAATTTCCGGCTGTCAGCCGGCATCAAACACGATTATTCGGGTGTTCTATCTCACCTCTTGCACTTATTTTATCTGTTGTCTGCATTTCATCACCACCAGTTTCATTTTTGAACTTAGGTTTTTCATCAAATGATTCATCAGTTTTCTCAATTTTGACTTGAACTCCACCAACAGCATCTGCTTCAGATTTCACAGGTTTCTGGTCAATCACTTCGTCCTGTTTTTCAATTTTCACCTTGACATCAGGATTGGGTTCAGTTTTGATGTTAGGTTTCAGATCATTTGATTCATCGAGTTGCTCAATTTTGACCTTGACATCAGGATTGGGTTCAGTTTTGATGTTAGGTTTCACATCGTTGAGTTGTTCAATTTTCACCTTAACATCACCTTTTTCCTCTTCCTTCACAGAGTTTTCAGTTTCAATGTTTTCTGGAAAATATTTCATCAGATCAACGGCGTGGGAATGTGAGAACAGGTAGAAACATGCAGTTATTGTAGGGTCTAAATCCCCAAACCCACCCTGGGCATTGGGTTGGACAGGGTGGGCTAGGGGAGGAACACTATAAAGTGGGACAGGTAGGGGTAACCTCAACCCAATAACTATGAAATATACTGTAGTGTCTTTCCTTGTCAGTTTAGTGTAATATTTTATAGTTTCAAGTTTATCAGATAGTTTCTAGATTATGTTTCAGAAGTTGCTTTTTTCATCATCAGGCGTGGTGACGGAAGAAGCTCATCTGGTGATGGAAGAAGCAACTTCCAAAACAACCTGCAGTAAACTCAAACTACCAACAACTAGGTATGCTGTATCCAAGTTTTAACAATTAATATCTTTACAGCTACTTGAGACAAGTGTTGAAGAAATTTGATATTGCAGATGCTAAAATTTGTTGCAACAAGGGTGTAAAAGGGTTAGTAACAGCATTCGCACCCTGACATGTACGTCACATGCTGCACTAGGTCACAGAATAAAGACATACAGAAGTGTAACTTCCATTACAAAACCATAAGGCGCTTTCACCGAAATAGCTGGCGGCCATGTTCTTAGCAAGTGCCCTAAAGAGAGGCATTCACCCCCCTGCATTATTAAATTTTCAATATGTTTTCAGGGGGGTGACTGCCTCTCTTTAGGGCACTTGCTAAGAACATGGCGGACTGAAAAAATCCCTTATGCACTTTTAATAAGAAGATACACTTCTGTATGTCTTTATTCTGTGACTAGGTGTTGGCCAGGTCACAGAAGAAGAAGGTACAGCAGAAGTCTCACTCAAGCAAGTATTTGTCCGCGTTTTTACAAGCGATTTGTCATCAATCATGCCATCCTGGCTAGTACAACCAGCACTTTGTACCTACCAAAACCTGATAAAAACTCCGGTTGTACTAGCCAGGATGGCGTGAGCAAGTAAAAATTTCCGTGGACGTAAAACAATAAGGGAACCGACTCAAGTTACACTCCTGCTGTACCTTCTTTATTCTGTGGCCACTGGCCAGATGTTGTATATAAAGAGAAAAGCATGACATTTTATTTCAACAATTCACAAGCTATTTTACTGCACAAACTGAATATTAAACAATACCAATACCTGTCATTTGATTAAGAAGAGATTTCTTTAATTCCAGATACTGCTTGAGTATTTTCTCTACAAAATTATCAAAAGAAACACATTTTACATGGTCTCATGAAAACACATCATTACACAGTCAAAATACACAACCTCAGTACCTTTTTCAACCATTAACCAAGCTAGACTTGAGCAAAGTAATGCCAAACTTTTCCCAGATCCTGTTGGACTTTCAAGTAAAGAATTTTGCCTTCTTTCAATACTTTTTATAATCTTTAATGGAAGCAGAAATTTAGTATTTTCATCACCATTACAGTAAAAGTTTATTTTATACAAAGAGTAATTCAACATTAATAAGACATTATATAAAATACCACAATAAAATACATGACTACTAAATGACAAACTTTGAATATATAATGACAATATTCACTTTAAAAACAAAAACTTGCCTTGTCCATCATTGTGAACTGACTTGGGTACGGTTTATAAGGAAATTTCACTTTGACACCATTGATGGCATACTCTTCAAAATGGCTTTTACACGCCATTAATATGCCAAATCACAACTCAAAAAACAGGCTGGTGTATCGTGCAAATATTCTAAACATTTTGCAGCTGCATCTTGTTGAGAAAAACACTCAAATGGACAATATTTTTGCGCTCTTTTGAATTTTAAATAATACAAACAGAAATTTTGGAAATTTTCCCGCGAAGAATTCCGCGAAGTTGCTATCCTTGATTACCTCAATTACCCAATTTTGTCAACAATTGCTCCTGTCTATTCCCAATACACCACAATTGCCCTCCTATATCAACAATTACTTCTCTCTATCCCTATTTCACCCCAATTACCCTTCCATATCAATAATTACTTCGTTATATTCCTAATTCACCCTAATTTACCCAGTTTATCAATAATTATATCTGTCTGTCCTAAATTACCCTCTTTTAGCTACTGTTACTACCATCTATTCCTAATGCACCCCAATTACCCAGTTTTATCAATAATTATACCTATCTATCCTAAATTACCCTCTTTTAGCCACTGTTACTACCATCTATTCTAAATTCACCTCATCTATCCTTCTTTACCCATAGTTACTTCTATCTATCCCAAATGCACCATAATTACCCCCTTATATCACCTATACCTCAGCTATTAAACTAAATTCACCTCAATTACCCTCTTATATCAACCACCGTCATCTTGGCAAGTCTTTTTCAACTTTTTTTTCAAAAACTGCAAACGGAAAAAATGAACACCTACGATTTTTCTGGCTTTCAATCCAATACAAGCACTATTATTATTGCTGTATACTTTGTTTTGTTTGTGCTGGTTGTACTGTATTGCTTTGTGGCGCGGAGAAATCAAGCATGGATGGAGTTTAGTGGAAAAAGAGTGCTGCTGATAACCGCCCATCCAGATGACGAGTGCATGTTTTTTGGACCTGTTATTTATCATGCTTGCAAAGAGTCTTCTTCCTTCTCGCTTCTTTGTTTGACCAAAGGTAAAATATAGAAAACATTGTCGAGATTTTATATTAAATTTGACTGATTCATTTTAATAAAACATATTATAAAAGTACTTCCATTTTTACTGTTTTCACATTGTACATTCCAACTTTCTTAATATTTTCATTCTGTTTTCAAAGGGAATTATAACAACGAAGGTG